ATATATAATTGCCTTTATTATATATATTATTATATATAATATACATTATGCCTTTAATATGATGGAATACTACTCAGCCATAAAAAAGAATAAGAGTTTGCCATTTCCAACAACATGCGTGGATCTAGAGAGTATTATACTAAGTGAAATAAATCAGTCAGAGAAAGACAAATACTATATGATTTCACTCATATGTGGGATTAATTTAAGAAACAAAGCAAATAAACAAAGCAAAAAAGAGAAAAACCAACCAAAAACACTCCTTTATTTTAATTCCGCATTTTATCTTATTTTATTTTTTATGTTTCACAATAAGTTTCTTTTTTTATTATGTTATGTTAATCACCATACATTACATCATTAGTTTTTGATGTAGTGTTCCATGATTCATTGTTTGCATATAACACCCAGTGCTCCACGCAGAACGTGCCCTCTTTAATACCCATCACCAGGCTAACCCACCCCCCACCCCCCTCCCCTCTAGAACCCTCGGTTTGTTTCTCAGAGTCCGTAGTCTCTCATGGTTTATCTCCCCCTCCGATTTCCCCCCCCTTCATTTTTCCCTACCTGCTATCTTCTTCTTTTTTTTTAACATATAATGTATTATTTGTTTCAGAGGTACAGGTCTGTGATTCAACAGTCTTATACAATTCACAGCGCTCACCGTAGCACATACCCTCCCCAATGTCTATCACCCAGCCACCCCATCCCTCCCACCCTCACCACTCCAGCAACCCTCAGTTTGTTTCCTGAGATTAAACAGACTCTTAAATATAGAGAACAAACTGGAGGTTGCTAGAGGCGATGTGGGTGGGGGTTTGGGTGAAATATGTGAAGGGAATTAAGGGTTTGCTTATTGTGATGAGCACTGAGTAACATACAGAATTGTTGAATCATTATATTGTACACCTGAAACTAAAAAAAAAAAAAAATCAGGAGGCAGATCAGGAGAGGCAGAGGGGAAGTTGTGCAAAGAAAATATTTGTATTTTCAGCCATACACTTCTAAGTTTTCTGTTTTGTCTTGCTCTTCCATTTCATAGAGAAGGAGAAGCAGGAAGAGAAGGGGAAGGGGAGGGGGAAAGGAATGAGAGATGAGGGGAAGGGAGGAAGAGAAACTGAAAGGGAGAGAGAGCGCCGTCAGACAAGGGGATGATGAATAAAGCTCATGCCAAGCCAAGGAATTCAGGGCAGGAGTTTCCAGAAGGTAAGATTGGAACTGCTTGAGAGCACAGAGAGGTCAAGGCAAACAGAGATGTTGCCTTTAGTGATGCACCGCAGTAGATTCATTAAAGAGGAAACGTTTTAATAAAATAGGGCTGCAGATTCTACTTGTAAGGGGTAAGGAATAAGTTGGCACTAAGAAATTGGATCTACTGAACCTGGACTATTTCTAAAGGAAGAAATACACTTTGAAACAAAGTTCAAGTATGTGATTAAAAAGTATGGTGTTTCATGAATCTTCATCTTTCACTCCGGGTTTCAGTTTTTTCTTTCTCTGTCTTTTTAACAGGGTCAGTGGCTGTTTACACTGCACCTCATTTACTACTCTTTCCTTCTCATGAATATAACATATTTCAGTTGCCTTTCAGTTTCTTAGCTGCAGTCAGATGGGTACTGAGCAAGTTCCATCAAAGACAATGGCAATTTAATTGGGTCCCCAGAGTCAGCAAAGGGAAAGACACCCCTAATGCATGTCAAACTTCATTTAGGCCCATGTCTGCTGGTGCCTAATTCTGCCCAAACACAGTGCAGAACAGGTAGGAACATGCTACCACCTGGTAACACCAGTATCTCCTCATCTGACCTGGTGTCCCACAGCAGGCTTACCTGCAGCCTGTCCCGATGCTGGTCATTCCTTAAGAAAACAGACCCTTAAAAATCCCTTCCCATTCCTGCCCCAACCTTATCATGAGCTCTGTTTCCCAGAGCAGAGCTTCTTTAAAGCTGAAGAGAAAGCTGCTTTGATGAGAAAGTGGAGCTCTTACCTCTTTCTTCCCCCTCCTCTGTTAGGTGAAGTAGTTTCTGTTATTTCTCTGTCTTTCACTGGATCACGGATCTTTTATTTCACCTGTCCGTCATTGGACTTTCCAGATCTCCTTTGAAGACAAAACAGAAATAAAGCAACCACTGTAACAGACTTTATAGTAACATGAAAATGAAAGCACTGAACACAAAGCAAAAAGCCCAATGACCACAAAAGGAATTTCTGCATGCTAAGCCAATGGGAGGGTAGATGGGCTTAACACAATTTCTCAACCAGAAACTTCATATTTCTTTGAAAGGGATCTCAGAGAATATTTGCTGATTTAAACAAATGTCTATCAGATATTTAAATATAGTGAAATGGATCTCAGAGTTCGGGTTCAGTTTGAGAAACCCAGAATGAGGAAGCAATCATGTTAATTTTTAGGTCTAATTTCCTTAAGTAATGACCACGCTTACAGTGGACCTGGCTTCTCACTTATACATACAGTAAGTGAGGAAAAGGCCATGCCTCACACACTCACAAACACACAGCATATGGCACTAATCCCCAGTGCGCAGTTTGGAAGGGTCTCCATATATTGCACACATGCTCTAGGCTCTATGCGGACTGCTTTATGGAGGTTTCATAACTTATATCTCAGGCTAAACATTTCCCCATGATTTTATAGAAACGGAGGCACTGAAAGGTTGACTGTCTTAACCCAAATCACAGCACTGTAAGTAATCTGAACTCAATCATTCTTGTCCCCAAGCCCTCCTGTTAAGCCTCTTTCTAGGTTTTCTGAGTGAATAGCAATAGAATTAACAGCTTTATCTCTTGATTGTTTTCTATGGGTGTTACTTGTCTAACTCATTCCTGATTACAGTCATGCAAAATAAGTGACACTGTCTTCATCTTACCCTGAGAACAAGGAGGCTTGAGGGAGGGTAAATAATATGCCTATCCATATTCACTATGCAAGTCACAAGTGTGGGAATCAAATTTTAAACTATTTTTACCTTTAAACTCTGCTTTTTCCTCCTCCTCCACATTGTTTCTGAAAGGAATGAGGAGAAAGGGAGAGGTTTACCAGGTTCTCAGCTGATCCCAGATATTTCTCTACACCTAGAAGCCAGTGTGAGAAATTTAACAAATAGAACTGGACGCATTCTTTTCTTGTCCCTTTTTGCATTATCTTTCCAAATGTCTCTGAGTAAGTAGCACTTCAATTTGTTTTGAAAAGTATGATTTCTCTGGGTCTTTCCATTGTTGGTACACACCCAATTACTTCCTGATTTAACAGTCTAGTGCAGCAATTTTGAGGATCTGAAACTTTCTTATCTTTAATCTTGGCAAGATTGGTCCCCTCCTATTCTACTGGTCTCCCGTGAGCCCTTTGCCAATCTCCCATCACATCACCTTGATTTTTTTTCCCTTATGACTACCTGAAATTCAAGTTCATAAAAGCAGGTAACTCATGTATTCACAGCACCTACAAGAGGGCTTGGCACAGAGTAGAAGTTCAATGGCTATTGTGTGACTATAAAATGACCTCAACTATGAGAGAAACTTGCCAGTTTGAATATATAAACTTTTTGAAGTATAGAAAAAAGAGTAAAATGCCTATGTAAAGCAGTTATTTGTTAATTTCATTACACACGTTTAAAATTCCATAGTACATCTATTTGTAATACAAATATATTGCTTCTTACTCATACATTAAAAAATAATTTTATTCAAACTCTTCCCATCCTTTTCTATTTTTTTATTTTATTTTTTTTATTTTTCCGCCAGCTTTATTGAGCTATAATTGACAAAATTGTGTAAGTTTAAGGTATACAATATAATAATTTAATACACCATATAAAATGTGAAATGATTAGCACAGTACGATTAGTTAATATATCTTTCACCGCACCTAGTTATATTTTTCTGTGTGGTGAAAACTTTTAAAATCCACTCTCTTAGCAACTTTCCATATAAAATAGAGTGTTTTTTTTTAATTTTTTATTGTTATGTTAATCACCATACATTACATCATTAGTTTTTGATGTTGTGTTCCATGATTCATTGTTTGTGCATAACGCCCAGTGCTCCACGCAGAATGTGCCCTCTTTAGTACCCATCACCAGGCTAACCCATCCCCCCACCCCACTCCCCTCTAGAACCCTCAGTTTGTTTCTCAGAGTCCATCGTCTCTCATG